TTTCCCTATTTTCTCTGAAGATTTTGGTTATTTGCCTCTGATATTAGCCGCCAGTTGAATGCAACAAGGTAAAGACAGGGAGTACTGCAGCAAAAAAACAGACATTAAATACTTCTGCTTTTATGGCATCTTCTGTCAATAGCTTTTCTGTTCAGCTGAGCAGTAAAGCAACATTTTGTCTGGGTGTTTTCTTACTACAAATGGACTTGCAGAACCTCTTCCTGCTACCTTAGCTAGCTTGAGGTCATTTTTTTTCTTTAGACTCCATTTGTTTCTCAGTGTTTGTTCTTTTCTACTCACACTCTGTATGTGTGTCCTTCATAAGTGGGAGATCACTGAGCAGCTTATGACTTAGCCAGATTAATTCCTAGGTCTCTTCTGCATTGGGATATTTTTCACTCACATAATTTCTCTAAGGAAATGTTTGAGCCCCATGACTTCTTTTCTCCTTTGACTTGCAGCTGTTGGCCTGTTTGTACTGTGAAGCCTCAGAGACCTCTCAGTGTCCTTCCTTTAATGTTCTTTGTCTTTATTATATCGTCTTTCCCCTGAAGAATAAATTGTCACCTTCATGCAAGTTGTCTTTTGCCTTCCTTATCTTAGGGGGCTTCTCAGTGCTGGAACACCATGCACTCAGACTGTGGTCTTTGTCACCAAAACACTCCACTTTGCTCTGCTTTGTGTTTCCTTCCCATCAGATTATCATGGCCAGCACTCTCTTCCAGAGTTTACATGTATTCTACCCACCTCAGGTTTTTCTTTGTTGAACTAGCTTGATCCTACTTTAAAAATTCTTTCCCTGAGGTAAATCAGGAGGTGAACAAACTTGAAATTCCTCTTTCTCATAAGGTGAACTCTGCTCTTGCCCAGCAACTTAGGGTGTTGAAGAGAAGCTGTCTCAGTGACCCACGTGTCTTTGAGGGGGAGGCAGAAGTATGAAAAGGAGAGGCTGCAAGATGCTACAGAGGAGCCTTGATGGGTTTTTAAATCCTTCAGTGGTGCACATGCTCCACCAGCAATGCTATGCTCTGAAAGGGGTTCTGGGTTTTCCCAGGATCTCTGGATGTTTGCAGTAGCCAGGCAGGCAGAATGAATTGTCTCAATATTAAGATAATAAATTTGCAGTTTTCCTCCTCCTCCTGTAAATCACGGGAGTCAGTGCAGAGCACGGGTCTGAGGCAATAAATTCTCCATCTTCCATTTTAAAAATTGGGAATCTGTGTTTATAAATAATGGCTATTTCAGCTAATTAAATCCTTCAGTGGCTTTATGTGCCAGATCCTGCCCAAGCCCGTGTTTGCAGACTTTGTTTCTCAGGGGGTCAAAGTGATGCTTGGCAGTTGCCATCCTAATTAATGCCCTTTGCCATACAGGACTCGGGTCACTTCTTGTGTCTTTACACACATGCCCATGGAGGGGTATCTTCTCTCTGTGCAAGCTTTTGTGTGGAAGAATGTGTAATTTGGGGTCTGGCTGTGTTTGTAATTCCTCTGTGCAGGAGTAAGAGCGACTGTACCAGGGAAAAGAGGATAAAGCTTTTGTGAAGCCTTCAAGTGATGTAGTCTTTTAATGTTTAACTTTTATTCACCCATACAGTTATCTTCTTTGTTTCTTTAATACCAAACAAATGCATAAATACCCACATTCCTACCCTCACACTTTCTTTTTTAATATTCCAGGTACTGGAGGTGACTTTTAAAAACAGAACTAAAATGACTTCTGAAATGCATAGGATATAGTGCTATCTGTGTCATTGCTGCAGGGTAGCTGGGGATGTAATTACTCAGATGTGGCTGATCACCTTTCTTTCTAGAAAAGAAGAGAAGTTTGTATTAGTTTCATGATAGCTTTATGGTTTAAATCTTTAATGATATCTGTCAGTAATGTGAAAGGCAGTGGATGAAGCAAGAGTGTTGGGTTTTGCTTCTCACCAAGGGGGAAAAAGCCACTGTACCTGTCTTGACTTGGACTGAAAGATCTTTGGGACAGGATGGGTATTTCCAGACATGTTTACAGCCAGTAGTGCACAAATAATTCTCTCTGCTGGCACAAGACATACTTTAGAAAACTAATATGTATAAATTCTTCTGGTTTCTGCTCTTTAAAATTGTTGCCTTAGGGAGAGCACAAACACACACACACACACACACACACAGAAGAAAACTTCTCAAAGGAAACATTAAACACAAACGCCTGGACTGGAACTAAAATAATCAGTATACAATGTATCTTTTGTCCTTCCCTTGGAAGAAAACCACTATTAAAATGTAACATTAAATATGCTGTGCTCATGTGGAGAGTTCATTTAGTTTTCCTCAAATAATTTCATTCTTCTCACATGGCTTAGCTTGCAGAAAGATTGAACACCACTTCAGTGGTATTTTAAGGTTGCAATTTAATCACCAATTGACTTTGGAAAACTAAATATAAACCCAGGAAGAGCCTGTTGCTGAGTAGAGGTAACTTCTGGTCAGTTCCAGACCTGAAATAATATAACCTTGTTAAGATTTATTTTTTTCTTTTGTCTTGAGAAAGGCAGGAAAGCTGGAGCACTGGGCAGCAGCTGTAGTTAGATCTTCCTTTGCTAGTTATGTTTATATCAGAGATGGAAAGCAAAAAACTGAGCCAAACCCCTGCCAGAAAGAGGGACTTTCTATTCCCTTTTCTAGTGGGAGTGTAATACTCACAGGAGAGGGGTGGTGATGTTTAAAAACCAGAAAGCTGGTTTGTGTTTGGAGCCCACCAAGGTGTCTGAGCACAATCCCCAAGGGAGAGAGCAGCCCTTGTGGTGCCAGGGGTCCTGGGGGACCCACACCCCTCCAGAGGCAGATGCTCTTATTAGTTACTGTCATTTGCTTTTCTGCACAAAGCTCCATAACATCAGTACAACCATGCCACCTTGTGTTAATTTTGGTTTCCTTATGGCCTGGAGCAGTCAGAAAAAAGCATTTAAAAGAATTTTCTGTGTGTGGATGTGTGTGTATCTGTACATTTTTTTAATGCTGTTAACAATTCACTGCTCTCTCTCTGAGCCTGGTTGTGTATCAATAGCAGGTAAAGTGATTCCACTCTGTCATTTTGCACTTGGAAATTTAGAATAAAGACATTAATTTTAATAGTTACATTTTCAAAATATGTTAATGTTGAAGAAGCTGAACTATCGTGGTACGTGTCTAGCCCAGCATGGGTAACTCTTTCTGGACTGTCATAAACTCCCTGCTGAATAGTGAGTCCTTCAGCTCAGGGGACTTTGCTCCATTATATCCCTGTGTCACAGCTGAACAGATGAAATCCAGACACCCTGGCTCCCTGAAGTTTTGGGGGTCATTTTGGCAGAGAAATAACCTGTGGATTTTGCACCATGGAGTTAGTAACATTACGAATGTTTTCTTGTGAGGAGTTATATTTGGGAATGCTTTAAATTTAAAAACAAACAACTACTTAAAATTGCTATGATATGCATAAAACCTTTTGAAAGAGAATGTAATCATTAAACCTTTGCCTCTTTTCTGCACAGTCAGCAGCAGAATATGTGAAGTCCCGCCTGCCTGAAGTCCTAAAGCAACATCTTCAAGACTATGAGAAGGATAAGGAGAACAGTGTGCTGTCTTACCAAACCATCCTGGAACAGCAGATTCTATCAATTGATCGAGAAATGCTGGAAAAACTGACTGTGTCCTATGATGAAGCAGGTACATTTTAAAGTTACATTTTACTGGAAAAAAAAGTTGCTCACTTTCAGTCTTTCTCCCAAATGCTTCTGCTGGCAAATTGAACTGTCTCCTCAAAGGTATGAGGTCACTTAATGAAACATTTCTTTCTCCTAAAATCAAGGTGAGATAGAAATGTTTCCACTCCAGCAAGTGAATACTAACTAGCTGAAAGGACAGTTATTTCTCCATGTCCTTTGTAATGCTCTGATGTTGATCGATGTGGTCGTGCCTCTTTATTGTCTCTGCACGTGGTGTGACCTGGTTTCTGCTGGTTCCTTCTTCACTGCTAATCTGTTTTGGGGGCTCACTCAGCTAAAAGTGTACTGGATAGTCACTGAATCTGATTTTCAAATCTGACATGATGCATGGGGATCGGCAAAACCAGTTTGTGTGTGGAGGGTTGGAGGCATTTTAACAGTACAGTTACAGGAGTTCCAACTTTGGTATTTACATCTTAATACTTGGGAGTTTGTCCTAGTCACAGCCAATGCTTTTTACTAGCATTTTGTTTCCAAGGGGTTAGAAATGTCTTCCAGTTTTTGATTCCTGCACAGAGTTGTCCTGGTGCATGGTCTTCACACTTACAGAGAACAAAAGAGATGCTGTTTCTGTTTTTCCCCAATCTTCCCAAATAGCCACCAGTGTCTGCCAAATGCCCACTCCCCTGAATCTTCCCAGGTTTCCCAGTGTTTGGATAAATTGAAATTAACACTGCAACCTTGTAAAGAAACAATCAAACAAAACCAAATCAGCCTCAGGCAGCCTTGTAGCACAAAAGAGAGTTTATACTTAGTGTGTCCCCATTTTTGGGGACATTTAATCCCTGATGGCACTTCCCTGCTCTGTTGTTCCCCTGACTGCACCTGGCACAGTAGTGCCCCTCAGGAACACGCTGAGCTCAGCTCCCAAGCTTTCCTTCCAGCTGTTTTAGGCAGAAGCTTCGAACTCATGAATGGGTTTTTCATCCTGTTTAGCTCTTGTTTGCCAGCTCCCAGGCCAGTGTATCACTCTAGGCTTTGGTTAGTGGCAACCTGCTAAAATTAGTTTCTCCTCTGGAAAACCAAGCACTGACAAGCTGGTGTTATTTTGTCCCATTTCTTTGTACTCAGGCTGCAGTGCCCTGAAGTACTTAAAGTGCTCAAACTACTTACCAACTTTGTTCAGACTCCTACTCAGACTCCCACTCACTAGCGACATGATTCTCTTAAGCTACTTTGATCTCAAAGGAGCTCGAGCAACTTAAAATGCCATGTGCAGCCTGAGTGTTCTGGGTACTTAACAGGGCTCTGAGCTCTAGTAGCTTCAAGTAATTACAGTGCTCTATTACTTTATCAATTATATTCAATAAATAAGCCTGATTCTCTTAAAGTGCTTTGATCTCCCATGCTCTCAAGCCCTTTACGGTATCGTTTGCAGGCTACACATGTCACATACTTAGGGAGCTCTGAGTCACTGATTTCTCAAAGGACAAGAGAGTTAAAATGAGGGCACAGTATATTTGTTTAACCACAAATGGCCTGTCTTTAACGAGGCATAAAAAGTAAGCTAAAAAAAAAAAGTTGCTTTTTGTTGCTTCTGTTTATATTTTTTTTAATGCAGAATTTACCAGTCCAGTGAATCATGTAAATCCTTTTCCCTGGCTTGGTCACTTCATCTCTCCAGTCATTTTGATTGATAGAAGTTTGTTAAGAAGGAGAAAATGCAATGGAAAAAATTACTGGCTCCTGTCAGAAGAAAAGGAAAGCATTTTCCTTTATTGAAAACTTCGTGTTTGTACGGAGAAAATAAAGATTAAAACTGCTTGAAACACACATTTGGGGGTTTATATCATGCAATAGAACAATCGTGGAAATGAGAAGCTACATAAGGTAGTAGTTTAGAAAAGCCCTAGCATATACAGACATGCACAATGGAGGGAGCAATGTGCTGTAAATAAAAGCCAGAATTTCAGCTTCCCAATTAGGTAGACACCTCTGCAGATTAAACCACGGAGATGGAGCCCGCTAGTCCTTTCAATCATGTCACTTGTTTACTACAAAAGCAGAAATGGTGCTACCTGCTCTTGAAGTAAGACCTGATTGTGAGCAGGGCACAGAAAATGGGCAGTTAAATGTAATTGCAGCAGCTGTTTGTGATCCCGAGTGCTCCAGCTATTCAGCACTTGAGCAGTTGTGGTGGTGACAGTTTTCTTCTCTGAGTGTTTTTCCATTCTGAAGTCAGTTTAATGAGAAGATCAAGCTGCTGGTGGCACACAGGAGATGAAGAAAGCTATCTTTACAAATCAAAATGTTGAAAATCAAAGTGATTGTGATGTAAGGGGAAAATACAACTTTCTCTGACAGGAGACATGAACAAAACCCATCCTGGAGAGCACTGTCAAGGGTTTGATTTCTGTGATCCTGAGCAGTTGGAGTTTGGAAATGTGTCAGCCAGGGAAACTAGAAGGTTAGATACTTAGGGTACATGGTACAGGGGGTCAGTGGCTGACTGAAGCAGGGGGCTGCATGTAGGGGAACACTTCCACAGCAAGACAGCAGACCCTTTTCCTGAAACCTTTCCTCTCCCTCTTGGAAAGGCTATTTTCCAAGGGTTCAGACAGTGCTCACCACCAGCTAACTCCCTTCACTCCAGAGATGTCTCCCAAAGCAAGTAGAATTCAGGTGCATCCATTTTCCAGAAAATAACAGAACTGCACTAAAACAGCTTGGGCTTCTGGTACAGTTTTGGGTGGTAGTTTGGCCTTTCTAGCAGCATGCAGTATTAATGACATGCAGCTTTGATGGACTGAACATCCTAAGGCCTCTTTTTGTCAGTCTTTCCCTTTAGGAAATGACTATATCAAAGCTACCAAATCAAATGAGTCCATCTAAAAATAGTCAACTATGTACAAGATTTTTAGTGACGTTTAACTAAGGAAGCTTTACAAAATGAAAGCAGACCCAAAGTGACAGGTGGTTAAAAATCCTGTCATAATCTTTAAATCCCTTAGTTTAAAAAGTGGCATTCTTGACTAGCTAAGGCTGGGCTAATTTTGTACATGAATATTTTTTTCCTGCTAGCTGAAGCATTATTTGGATGTTAATCCTATTGCTTTGATTTATAGCATTTCTAAACATCTGGGGTGGTCAGTGACTGCTCTGTATAAATACCAGTTTAGGGTATTTAAAGGCACTTTGGCATTTAATTCCAGTGTAGCTAAAGCCTGCCAGGAGATCCGGGTGGTGTTTTTGTACCTTAGTCAATAGTTTTTTCTTTAATGGATGGCCCCTCTCCCTCAGAGTCCTGTTGAAATTGGCTTTCATTGTTGTGTGACAAAAAAGATGGATTTCATTTTTCCCTGCTGTGAAGCACTCCTGAAAGATATTGATATTTAGGCACCGTATCCAGAGCCAGATGTCAGCCCAAAACATATTTTCTTAGCTAATATTTGCCAGGGTCTCCTGCCTTTCATAGAGCCACCTGCAAGGAAAGTGAGTGACTGCCCCTCCATGGGTCCTCCTGGGGGGAACCAGCAGCTCCTGCCTGGCCAGACCCCATGTGCCTCTCCCTGTGGGTGCAGTTTGATGTAGACTTCAGTGGAGAACTTTAGATGCAGTTGATGTGCACCAGGGCTTGAGACACTCCCTCTCTGTACCGTAGTGTTGCTTAAAAGGAGTTTTTATCTAGCAGCCCGTGTCCCATAATGCCCAAATACTCAGATTTTAGCAACATTTCTGTTGAGCTGAAATGTGGCCATCAGCAGTACAGCATCCTACACTTGTCTCAGGGCATGGGGGTTGTTCCCTGCCTTCCCCAGCCATGCCCAGATGCTGTGCTCTCCCTGGAAATCCCACTGTCCTTCAGAGCAGGTGGTGCATCCTTCTCTGCTCCTCACTCCCAGCACAATTTAGAGTATAATGACTGGGTAATGAATGAAATCAACTCCTCCTACTCAGCCTGCATTTTTCTGGCAGAGGACTGAGCCTGGTTTCTCTAGTAGCTGCAGCTGTGAAAACCAGCTCTGTGTGTAAATCCAAGGCTCAGACCGTCATTCCAATGGCAGGACCACAACCCAGTGTAGATCCAGACCCATGAGCATTTGCTTTTCCTGGCAAAAGCACAGAAAAGCAAAAATATCCAAGATTAAACTTCATCCCAAGAGGCTGGCAAATCCATCTGCTTCACACAGACATCCATGCCAACATGATCCTGCTGGGAAAAGGGGAACTTGAACTCTCCAGGGGCTAGTGCTGCCCCTTCTTCAATTGCCCTATTGGACAGCACAGGCAGGTGTTTTCCCTCAGAAAAAAATAAAAGTGACTAGAAGGAGAAAATGAGAAAATTAAAGCAGTAAAATTACACCAGAAATACATCCTGTCATTTGGGATAACACACACTTTGCTGGGGAAGATCCTTTTTTCCTCCTGCAAAGAGCTTTACCAGGTGAAGTTGTTACTCCACTGCGTTGCAGCAAAGATGAAGGTATCTTTGCTGTGATGTTTCAGGGTGGCTCATGCTCAGCACTAACCCATTAAAAATGCAGGAAGAAATCTGGTGGGGTGGTTATGTCCACCTTCTTTAAAATAAAATAGAACAAAGCTTGTCTTCAAGGTCCCTTGGGCCATGCTTTTGATAGGTGTTTTTTGATATGTCCTTTTCACAGAGAGCTCAGTCCTTGGGGAAACATGGGAACACACTTTCAATAGCTGTGACTTGTCAGACGTTTAAATCCTTGTCCTAACAGAGAATCTAGGGAATATTTATCTTCCATGCTCTGCTGACAGCACTGGGAAGAGCAGACATGGGTAATCTCACAATTATACAGTGATAATGGTCCTGCAACACATGTAATACTGCCAAGTATGAAATTACTTGGGCCTAAAAAATGGTAGGAATGTAGGTTTTGAGGGATTAAAGGAGCAGGAAGGAAAGTCGTGCACTAAGCACAATCAAAACTACAGTTGCAAAGCAATGGGTTGCCCAGAAACAAAAGCAAGAGA